AGTGAGGGTTTTGCTGCCTACTTCCTTTGTGACCTTGGATAAGTTCTTTACCCCCGCCAGCCCTGAGTTGTAACCTAATAATAGCACTGGCTTTACAAGGCTCTTGTGTTAGGCCTGGGAGCTGTGGAAAGGTTAGCATAGCTCCTAGCAAATAATGAGGACAAAAGAGAGAAGCATTATTGTGATGGACATTTCGCTGAAAAAGATTTTTACGCAATGTGGCCCGATTTTCAATATTTTGTTGACTGGTTACTCTGTAAAGAGATAAAACTTCTATTTCAATATTTAGTAAAACAAATTGTTTTCCTAATTACCATCATCTGAGATTTCTGTATTATTGTATTTCTATGGATTTTCTGGTTCTTTAAACACAACTAACAGTAAAAAAATTAAATGAAAAAAATTTGGAATAAATATTCAGAAATACATGATATAGATCATGACATCTAGCAATGGAAGAATTGGTTAACTGAGTATATTCTTTGAAATGTTTTGCATGTTCTTACACTACAACAAACCATGTGGTTCTGTGCCTAGCTGTTGCTTGCCTTTGTTCTCTCTCATCCTTTGTTTCCTGCCTCCTTGGTTGACACAGTGCGGGCATTCTCCGTTTTTTCTTGTTCCCGGGTCTCTGGTATTATTCCTTCTCATTCATCTTACAGCAGAATTTCTCCACGCGGCACAAGCTGGAGCTGAGAGAATTGATTTGGAAGGTACTTGAACTTCACAGTACCTCATTCAGGGTCAGTAGGGCTGAATGCAAAAGCAGATCTTCTGCCCAAATGGACCTTAGAAAACCAGACCAAGAGGCGAAGAGTGAAGGTAAAAGAAGAGACTCTTACCATTACATCTCAGTGTCAAGTATGTCAAATACCATTACCCTTGTGGCAATGTAACCATGAGAAAGAGTGGAAAATTATGTAATCACAGAATAGAATATTAGAATGCATTATAATTCAGAGTATGAAGAAGGAAGCCTGGGAGAAATGGTGACCTTCATTGCTCTTCTTTCAAGTAGGATCCACAAATAACACCAGCGGGGACAACGATGCAGTTGGCACTTTGTTCTGTGGACCCCTTTCTGAACACCAGAGTCCCTACTTGGTGGTCACGATATGAATTCTGTGAGTTAGGATGCTTGGGTTCAAATCCAGGCTTCTCAATTTTCAGTGGAGTTTCCTTGAACAATTTACTCTCTCTGTGCCTCAGTTTCCTAATCTGGGAAATGGAAATAATAATAGCACAAACCTTAGGTGCCAAGGAGAATGGAATGAGAATAACACATGTGAAGCACTTAGAAAAGTGCCTCGCTTGTTAAAGATGAAATTATTGTTTCTTATTGTTGTTATTTTTCTTATTTTATTCACCAAGTTTGAAATCCTTGGTGACATCCAGGAGTTCTGAGTAGATCACTTAACTGATACTGTGAAAATTTTCCAACAGTGATGTTTTCCTTTCTGAGAAGCAAGATTTCTTGTCTGGCTGTTGGTCTCTCATTTTCAGATGGGTATACTAGTATGCATGCTAGACAAGTGTCCTGCCACTAACTACATTATCTGACCTACCATCCTCACCCCCTTATTTTTATTTTTTGAGACAGGGTCTTGCTATATTGCCCAGGCTGGTCTTGAACTCCTAGGCTCAAGCCTTCTGCCTCAGCCTCCTGAGCAGCTGGGATTATATGTATGCCATTGTGCTTGCTGGGCTGAGTACACTGTGATTTGATTATCCCTAAAAAATCTTGGGCATGCTTGAATTTATAAACCATTACTAACTTACTAGTACTGTAATTCATTCTGCTGATCACATTTGGAAACACGGTGTGTCTACATACTAAACTAGAGAACTGGGGATGGTTGTGGACACCTATAATGTCAGGTAATCAGGAGGCTGAGGCAGGAGGATGGCAAGTTCAAGGCCAGCCTAGGCAACTTAGCTAGACCCTGTCTCCCTAAACAGACAAACACAAACAAACAAATAAACAAGGCTGGGGGTGTAGCTCAGTGGTAGAGTGCTTCTGGTTCTATCTCTGGTACCACATATACACTCACACAACACAAACAACGCACACACACACACAAATAGTAAGAAACTAGACATGAATTCAAGCATTTACTAATGCTAACATGTCTCACATTTTAGAAATATCTATTTGGCTCTGCATATTTGCTTTTTTCCTGTGACAGCACTCTGCAGTTTCAGTTTTTCTGCACATGTGAATGGGCTAATTATAAATCTGAGAATGTGTCCTTTTAAAAAATTGCAATTTCAAACACAGTCACTGACACCTGAAAAGTAGAGAAATGTTCAGATTCCTTGGGTGAAAATGTAAGAACACAGGGACCAGGGGATCATGTTTGAAGTAGTTTTCCGACACATGCTTCTTTGGGAGACTGATTAAAAAACAAACCATCAGTCATGCGGGGCACACCCTTTGCTTCTGTTCCATTTTTATCTTACCAATCTCCCTTGCAAAATTGAGGTTGTTCATAAATATTTTCCTTCTAAACTGTGGGAAATAAGTCCTGAGCAACTGGCTCTTTGATAAGGTTAGGTTAGGGGATGGCTGCTTATCACTGAAACAATGCACACAAAAGCAATTCAGTCCTCAGGACTGTGACAGACGTGGGCAGCAGCATGCTCGCCCTTCTTGTTCTCAGGCATTCCGGGGGAGTGGCGAGGACCCGCCAGCACAGGACGTTTTCAAGCCCTTTTTTCCCACCCCTCCGAGTTGCTAAGTGTCTGGTCATTTCGAAAAGGATTTGTTTTGCAAGAATCTAACCCTAACATGTCCCATGTTTACCCATCCCGGGGCTTGATCCCTGTTTAATAGAGCCAGCTGGACATGGCTTTTGGACTTGTGGTCACATCCCTACAGATCTGACCTCCTGGAGTGGACACTATTAAAAGATTGGGCTGTTATTGAAAATTTCCATTGCATCAAAAAATAAATATTAGCAACATTCCTCTACAGGGAAAATGATGTAAGGGGAGGGCTGAGGCTGTGCTGACCTCAGGCACATGGTGGAATTAGGTATGTGGCCATTACGCAACTCTGCTGACTCATAAAGCCCAGTGGTACACGGAACAAAGCTCTAGGGGCAGACACTTTCCCAGCAGCTCCTGAAGGAAGTGTTTGGCTTCATGCAGAGCCATAGATGGAAGTTTTGTTTGGCTCTGTTGCCTGAGTACTGAGGTGGTTATTTTGAAAGATGCCGAGGAGCAGAAAGTACACAGAGAAGCATGGCAGGATGAGGGATGATGGAATGGGAATGGGTCACAAGGAGCCTAGGTCACACTATGTCATGTTGTTTACTTCTACAATTGATGAACAGTTTCCTTTCTTTCCTTTTCTTGCGATTTTTTGGACCCTGGAAGCCAAAAGATACTCATAGAAGTTTAAAGGTGTGGTGGAAAGGCTGAAAGTGATTTGAGAATCAAGACCTTAAGAAACGATTTTAACAGTGATCTTTTTTTTTTTAAAGTTGCAAAAAGAGTGCTTGAAAGAGCAACTGTAAGGAAGACGATTCTAGTTTCAGAGGAACTTCCCATCACTGTGAAAGATACCTAAGGATCAACAACTTAAAGGAGGAAAGATTTATTTCAGAGGTTTCAATTCTTGGTCATTTGGGCCTGTGGCAAAGCAGAGCATCATGGTATGAGTATATGGTGGAGAAAAGCTGTTTACCTCATGGTGGCCAGGAAGCAAAGAGATAGAGACAGGAAGGGGCCAGGATTCCCATAGCTCCTTCAAGGTGTGCTCCCATGATGTCACTTCCTCCCACTTGGCCCCCATCCTGAAGACTTTACCACCAATAGCACCACAGGTTGGTCACCAAGTCTTTAACACAGAGAGTCTGGGAGAACATTTAATATTAAAACCGTAATGGGACTAGGAAGCCCAACAGTTGGTCAACTGGATAAAATTAAACTTTTAGTATTTTACTTGAACATTAAAAACAATTTTAATTATTGAACAAATATTACAAAAGTACTTCATGATCAGTGAAAATCAAGCAATACAGATGTATATAAAATAAAAAAAGCAAAATCTCCCTTTTTCCTTTACAGGGGCAAATACTGCTACAATCTGTCTATCTGTTCAGAACTTTCAAAACACTATATATACAATAAATGTGCTTTGGGTTGGGGGCTAATTATGTACTATTCTGAAATATTTTTCCACTTAATTCTTTATGGACATTTTTACTCTTTTGAAAAATACCCACTATTTGTACTCTTCTCTTAATGAGCAATAATTATTTTAAACAAAGTGAAATGGAAAATCATATATCTGATGTATGTAAGATACTTTCTTGGTATGATATACTTACCAATTTGCTTTATAAGTTTTTTGTTAATTGTAACTCAACTAATGTTTCATGTACAAGATAAGACAGGAATAGATAAGATGCTTAGAGATATGCTACAGTTGGAAAAAAAGATTTCATTAGCAGTATGGATAACATAATTCCAATTACTTAAAAGGTATGCATAGGCATAGAAAACAGCCTATGTCTGAACACTAAAATACTAAGTCATTAAAAGAATGTAAATGGAGTATAAATATTTTTTCTCATTATACTTTTTCTGTATTGTCAACAATGAACTTTTAAAATTAGTTAGATAATTTTAATATAAAAATGGCAATACACCTGATGAAAAAAAAGTTGATGTCCAAGTGCTACAGAAACTAAATCCATTTCAATTACCTTCTACTCTGGTCCCTTTTTATTCTGAAGTTTTTTTAAATTTAAGAAATTAGATTTAAGTTCCCTCATTAAGAGAAGTTAATTTTCAGCATCATTGAAAGAGTTGATCAGGAAATGCGACAAAAATCAGGAGATCATATTCCTTTATTACATATATGAAATATAAAAACAAATTAACAAAG